ATAATATAATATATATATTCAATAACTTATTAATTCGATAAAAATTTTCCAAACCATTCGTATTCGTTTAATTACAACTAATTTACAACTAATTATCATTTTTCAAGTATATAATCTAATCTCTATATATTAATATATTAAAAAGTGCAATAAATTTTTCAAACGATATTATAACATATGTTTCACGTTATCGTTATTACATTGTGTCTCGATTCATCGTCCGAATTAATTCGAAAATCTAATAAAATATGGTATTAATCGATTATCACATATATACATACATATATATCTTAAGTATGCATCGAAATGAACATAACGTTCTTTCAATGCACTCTCTTGTCTGCTTGTGTATGCATGCATGTGTATTTATGTACGTATAATATATATATATATATACTTACAAGTTTAAATTAAGTGTACTAGTGAGAACGATAGAATTTCTTTGAAATGTTTTACTTTTTTATTAACACATAACTTAACTTAAATGTTAAAACGAACTGTATCTCGTCCGGTAGTATACAGTAATGTACTTCGTAGTAATGCGTAATTAAAGAACGTTTCTCTTAAATGACCTAACAGTATTTCCAAGATATACATCCATAACTTCTATACATACTTAATTTAACACGTTTGAAAATTTATATACATTTGTCTAAAGCGATAACTCTTACGACATTTCGTATTTTCCCGCCTCTATTTGGCTTACACTTGGCGTAACACTTTGTCCCATAAGTCTTTACTTGTTCGTTGTTCCACGTGTGACTTATGTATAAGTATGTACGTATAGTACATACTTATGTTAACTATTTATAGTCGTTTATATCTTAGATCATTATTTCTTCTGTTATCGATTTACGTGACCTAATATTAATACAACATATTTTTTATTTCCTTCCTTTCTTTCTTTTCTTGTCTTTTTTTTTTCTTCTTCTTCTTATCTACACGTAGCTGTAAAAAATACACTCTTGTATAATGTTTTCACGAACTCCGTCTATAATTATTTATAATATGACTTTTAACATGCACTCTATACCTATTCTTTCAGACAATTTACGATATAATTATTTTCTTTGCCTATTATATACTCGTCCTCCGTATTTAATATATATATATTTTTTTTTCTTTCAACGAATTCGTATTTCCTTATTTTGTTATTAATAAAAGAAAAAAAAATATTTATCGATAAGAGAATGATTTTTCAGTGTCTTGTTGGTATGCATTNTTAATAAAAGAAAAAAAAATATTTATCGATAAGAGAATGATTTTTCAGTGTCTTGTTGGTATGCATTTTTTTTTTTTTTTTTCTTTCTTTTTTCTTTTTTTTTCAAATGTTCTTCCAATGCAAAAGTATTATCATCCTCGATAAACTTTACGTAACGTATAAAACGAAGCGTGTTACTTTTTATCGCTAATGTAATTTTAACATGTTGTACGAAAGAAGAGAGAAAGATAGAAAGAAAGAAAGAAAGAAAGAAAGAAAGAAAGCAAAAAAAGAAAAGAAAAGAAAGAAAGAAAGAGAGTAAGAAAGAAAGAAAATAGCGTACGAGTTAGCTGTTTCTTTATGCTTCGCTTAATCTTTGCAAATATTATGAGATGAATATTCATACGAAAAAGGGGAAAAAAAGGAGTAGAATGATACCGAGAAGAAGAGGAAGGAAGGAAAAAAAAATTATGACTTTATATAATACGTCGAGACACGATCATGTTCGATATTTAAAAGCGTTGAAGTAGCCGGTGGCGCTAGAACAACCTACGCGTCCACCTGTACAAATAATTTCCTTCTTCCAATTAACCTTACGCAGTTGGTCTTTTTCTTTTTTTTTTTTTTTCTTGTTAAGTCTCGACGCGAAAATGCGAAGTGAATTTATATATTATTTTATTATCTTCGAAAGAGATAATATAACCCGTGTTTACGTGAGTATCATCTACATCGTGAATAAAAAAAAAATAAACTGAATTTTATATACGATATAATAGAGAAATATCGAAAGATATATTTCTAAAAAAAAAAAAAAAATTCCAATAATCTACCAAAAAGAAATGTGGACACAATTTTTTATTGTTGATTTTCTTTTATTAATAAATAACTTCGTCATCTCTCTCTGCTTTTCTATTCGAATTATATAATCTTTTACAATTTTTTCGTATATTTTTTGTCGAAATATTTCGTCCAATTTTCGATTACTTTCTCATGTGTCAGGTTCTATTAATTATTACAAAATAAACAAACACATGTGTTTTCTATTTACTTGAATCCATCGTTTATCCGTCAATTGGATTTTTATTATCAATAAGTTAGACTTTGTTATCAACGTTTCTTACGTAATCGACGTTTCTCCGTTATTTGTATTACTGTTTCGTCAAATAATCTTTAAAAAGAGTCTCTCATACTAAACCTACTAATTCTCGTATAATATATTTCGATCAGGTCATTCTAAAAAGGTTCCTTTTTAATTTTTCTTTTATTTATCTCTAAAAAAGAAGATATATATATATATATAAATATATTTTTGTTTCCTTTTTTCTTTTTATAACAAATTCGGAAATTATAGTAGGTTATTGTCGTTTTTGATTATCGTTAGTTAATATTCGACAAATAATATAACAGGACGTACAAGTAACAAGTAGAAGGAAGCTCATCATTGCATTATAATCGAAATTGAAAGCCGTTTGGCGTCTGCATACTAAATTATCGTGCGTCATCGTATTTGGGGAGTCAATCCCCTTCTTGAATAATTACGTCATCGACCACTGACGATTCGTTCTTGTATTTCTATATGTTCTTCTTCTTCTTCTTCTTCTTCTTCTTCTTCCTCTTGCCACGACCATATGTATATATATGCATGATAAAGAGAAAGAGAGATAGAGAAAGTTTTTTACTCCATGTAATATATTATGTATAAACGTATCCGTGATTCAGATTTAATTTATTTTTTTTTAATCTTTTTTCATCAACAAATATACAAAATTTTATTAACATAATTTGCAAATTATTATCTCCAAAATCATATATATATTGTATAATATTAAATTTGCGATAATTTACAAACATATTTTATTACAATCACAGGTTTGGTGGTATTGGTGATATAAAATTAGATTCATATGTCATGGCCATATATGATAAAGATTAAAAAGAAAACAAATACATACATACATATATATATATATATATATATGTATGTATATATCGTATTACGTTAACAAAATATCATTGACAAAGTTTGCCAAATTATTTGAATCAATTTATTACAATCAATCGTTACGATTGATTTGTTCGAATTTGAGGAAATAATTTAACGAGTTTATTATGGATAAAAAAATTATTAATCGAATTATTCTCGAGTACGTAAGTGAGCAGGGCGGGGTGGGGGAGGGAAAATACTATTGAGGATTGAAAAATAAATTATGGTTGTTGTATCGATCGATAATCCGGGTAGATTTACGAGAAAATAGTACGTAGGTTTTAATTCTTTGATGAAAACCGACTATATGATTTAGTTCTCCTCCGCACGACGATGCAAAGCAATTTACTTTCCTCTCTTTTTCTCCTCCTCCCCTCCCACCCTCTCTCTCTCTTTCTCTCTTGGGACAGATGTAAGCATTGACGTAAGCATTAATGTCGGTGACGACGAACCATTACGTATCAAAGTGGAACATCTCTAAACATTTTTTCTCTCAAAATCTCGTTTTTTGATTGTTCCATTTTCTCTCATACATATTCGTATTAAAAACAAATATATACTCTTATTAAAAATATTAAAAATATATTTATTTTAGTATATTATATAAATATATATTGTTTTTTTTACAAATATACATATTCAAAAATATAATACAAATATATTTGTTTTAAATTATCAATATAAACAGTAAACTAATTAATATATTTTATTATATATAAATATATTATGCCGATATTTTTTATGGTTGAATATAATTTCACGATATATTTTATATTACAATTATTTATATACATGATATAATACGAAATTTAAAACTCATAAAAGGTTTCCAAGTTTTTGAACAACTTTCAGATATCGTACGTTAAAAAAGTTTAACGAGTTTACAAAGAAAAAAAGAAAATGTATTTAATCGAAAAAAAGAAGTCTATGTTAAATTTGGAATTGGTTCCCAAACAAAGTAATACATAATTCAAGGATTCTTCGGTTGGACGGTTTTGATCTTTTTTACTACGATCTAACTTTAGAGTTTTATTCCGTGGAATTTCAAAGAAACGAGAGAGGGGAAAAGACTTACTCGGCTAGGGAATAATGAAATCGGGCTTAGGAATAACGACGAGCATCGTAGAAGAGAGAAACTGAAAGTAGGTCGTTAAGAAAACTCACTCGGAAGAGATTTTTCACCTATTCCTTGGGAAGTTCGTATAACCAAGCAGCAGGTTGTTGCTGATTTTACTGTTAATTTCTTGAAAAAAAATGGCATTCACGATAGGTAATATATCTCTCTCTCTTTCTATCTCTTTTCGAAGTTTCCATGAATTCTCCCCTTCGCACGGTGTTAGAATATTTATCGCAAGTCGATAACAGAAATCT